CGATCACTAGGGCAGGGATTCAAACTGCTCTGCAGGTTATACTGGATCCAGCTCCCTTAACCACTAGGCCCCCAGGCTGGCCCATCTATTGTTTTTTAAAGTCTTCTTTAAAGAACCTGTTTTTATTCCAACTTTTACTTAGATTAAAAGCAGTAAGGGATTGCTTTACTAACAACAAAAAATCCCACTAATTTCCATTAATTTTGCCACTCTATCTTTCAAAATAATAAACAAATTCTATGTTCATGTTTAAAGAGTTTTAGAATACATGTGTGTTTTTAAAAACTAAAAAAGTCATGTTTTCACATCTTAAAAGCACTTGGGACCAGCAGTTGGCATAATGGCTATGTTGCTGGACTTCCATGTAGTCAACCGTGGTTCGAGTCCCAGACCTAGTGGCTTAAACTAACCCCGGTGCGTGTGTGTGCGTGCCCAAGATCCCAAGAGGAGAATGGAGGAAAAGGGATCGCGGCATGGCCATCCCCCCTGGGGGGTGATTTCTCGCTTTCTGTCTCTCTGTCTTTCTGGTGAGTGCACGCACCCTATACCAAAAACCTCCCCCCCCCAAAAAAAAGCACTCATAAACTTAAACCTCTCATGTTGCTTTTTTTTTCCCCTTTCCTTGGTTTTATTAATTCCAATAGACATCATATGATCCAAAATCTATGACAAGATAATGATACTGAAATTGTCAGTCCAAAAACTCAGGAAAAAGCAGAGGCTACATAACTGAAATATGCTTTTTATGATCAAGAACTTACCTTCTGTAGCCTAGGTACTATTGGGTCTTCAGGAAAGTCATGATGTATTTTTCTATAAAATGCATCATGGGGACCAGGAGTTAGCGTAATGGCTATGTCTCTGGACTCCCACGTAGTCAACCGCTGGTCGAGTCCCAGACCCAGTGGCTTACACGCACGCCAGGCGCGTGTACGTGCATGCCCAAGATCCCGAGAGGAGAATGGAGGAGAAGGGATTGCGGCATGGCCATCCCCCCCGGGGGGGGGGGGCGTGATTTCTCACTTTCTGTCTCTATGTCTCTCTCTGTCTTCCTGGCGAGTGTACACACCCTATGGCAAAAACAAAAACAAAACAAAACAAAAAACCTCTCCAAAAAAAAGAAAAAAACTGAAAATGACTTTCCTGGTAACCTAGTATTTATTTTATATGAAAATATTTTTTGAAACAAGTTAACAAAAGCCTATCTATTCTTTTATATGATCACAGAGGATGAGAAAAACGATACAAAACTTTAGCTCACTCATGTCCCTGATCCAGTAAAGAATAATTTGTGTCTTCAAGTTTAACCAAAAAAAAAAAAAACTGAAAAACTCACAAAGAGCCAGATTCTAATAACCTTACGGATTACACAGCTTCTATATGGCTCTGTATTAGATGAAATCAACCAGTGTACTTCTGTTAACCATCCTTAGGTTTGAATTCCAGGAGCCTGGAGGCAGAACATTCTCCACAGCGGCATAGAAAATTCATTTCCCCTCTCAACTCAATAAAAACCCAAGCAGACTAGTTTTTAGGGCACCGTGCAAAACTAATCTGTTTAGCCGTGTATTTGCCTGATGATGTGGGAGAATCAGCAAGTGAAAGACCACAAATCTAGTTCCAGCTAATAAAGACTCAAATGCTGTATTATTATCACGTCATGCTTCAAAGACCCAGTCATGAGTATATTTCAAAAATAAAATTATCGCCGTACAAATCCAGAATCACCAGGTTAATACTAAAATCAAACACTCAGCGGGCAATTCCTCCTGCCTCTCAGAGACAAAAAAATCAGCAGCGGTACTATCTACGTTAAATACCACGTGAGAACAGCAGTCCTCCCTAACAGAATGCCCATTTAAAATTCCCCTCACAGGAGTGGAATGCCAGCCAGGAACCGAACTGTGACCCCTGAGCCAAAGACAACTGACCGCTCGGCTGGGAAGTGGGCAGCTCGATTTACAAACTTGAATTCCTGCATTCTAATCCTTTGCAGAAATATATGAGCGATATTAAATGAACTGGATTCAGCTCATTAGAGGCTCACAAACCAAACACAGAAAGCCCTGGAAGCCATCCAAAGCAAAGTCATGCCTAGGTGGTGATGTCCACTCAATGAATACTCGATGTCATAATTACCTTCCAACTTTTCCCCTGAACATCAGGAGCCACAACTACAGCAATGTGTGGCCTATCACATTAATCCTGGGGCAAGATTGATGGGACATACAGCCAATCACAGTATCACTACCTAGTTTATGGACAAATGGTTAGTAAACTAAAATTCACAAACAAAGCAACTCACTAAAAACTCCTCAACAAAGAAAGAACACAGGCAAAGCTACCAAAATAAATGCATGTGCTCTAATAACCTTGATCAAAAGTTTCAGTACTTTTTTTCAATTCAAAACCAATGAGAACTGTTGACATGAACTTAAATTTTAAAAAGCTGTGTGTCTCCTTTAAAATGTTATATGCTTTCAAAAATGCATTCACAGCTAATTTTAGCCTTTTAAATTTCAAAACAAGCTATTGTATTTCAAAGCTGCATTATTACTAATGAGACTGAAAAGGCAATGGATTATTTAGACCCCTTGATTACAATGAACTCAATATAAAAGTTTGCATTTCTGCTGCAGAGATCTTCGGTTTCTTACCAGATACCTTATTTCCTTTCATTATCAGAAAGATCTGTGCTAAATTAGAGTTGGGCATTTCTTTTGGTTAGCAATAAAATACCTAATCTAAAATCTCCCCTAGAAATACGTGATGGACAATCTTCATCAATCTGTCCCTTCGAATCAATCTAATCTTGGATTTCAAAAGTATACAAGAGTCAGAGGGATTAAGTAAAATCAGTAAGTTACGAAAACCGTGATTATTTGTGTATTTGTGTATGTCCTCTACTTTTGCTTACACATTTGGGGAAGAAAATAGCAAAAACCAAGTTTCCTAGGCAACGGCTGTTACACCCTCTCCCAGTGCTCATCCCACGGTGGGATGCAATCTGATGTTGAATACTCCCAGTAAGACTTAACTCTTCCAGAGCCAAGAGAGAACATCCAGCTGTTTGGCATGAACAGAACCTTTGACAGTGACTTCCCAACATCACATCAGGGACGTAGGGTGCAAAGGAAGGTTCAAAACCAAGGAATGGCCAGCATGTCCTTCACCCACTGTCCTCTCTCTCTACTTTTCAGCCCCGGGCTCTCCTCCTGTGACCCAGACACCACATGCAACCCCAGATAAAATCAGCTGCCTGGGCTTTCCTCACCCAAGGGCCAAGAAGCTGAGGAACTGAACCAGGAAGGAGGGAGAAGTCACAGCTCTCAGTTACTCTTCATCATTATCTTTCTTTCACAATCAGCAGCCTCGATTAAAGTGCATTACTCTAAGAAGCAAAATATTGCTGGAAGAAAGCAGCTTTTATTCTTCCAGAAGTGGGAAACAGTGAAGAGTACAATGAAATACACGACTGGCTACTCTTCGATAACCGAGCACTGGGCTCTTCAACCAATAGCAAAGGCCACAGCAGGGACCCCAAGGCTGAGCTACTTCTCTTTCTCCACAACTGCCTAATACAAAATATCACAGAGAAGGAGCAAAGAGGAGGGAAGACAATATTCAGTCTAGAGAAGAGGAAGTCAGAGGCAAAATACTACTGAACTTTCAGAACGCAGTGCTGTATCGTGTGAAGCAGGATAAATCGTTCCACCATCCACGTTAGAGAACACAAGCTCTCTCCATTTCCTCCCCCTCCCACTGCCTCCTACCCCAAAGACCGTGGGTCAAAGACAGGGAAGAATTTCCTGAGAGGAAGTACCGCTAACCCCAGAAGGTCCGGGCAGCAGTCTGGAATGCCCTTGTCTGGGGGCTGTAAAATGTGCAGGGACATCACGCGACACACTCCCTGGGGGCTTCAGGGCATATGGCCATTTATAAATAAGCCTTTCTGGTCTTCTAGTAACTGAATACCCTAACAAGTCTGAATCTAATTTAGTCTTTTCCAAATTTCATGCTTTCTCAGGCCAACTTAACAAGAACACAATCTCAAGTACCCAAAACACTAAGTTTATTACCATTATGCGGCGAACAGTCATTTACGATAACTCCATTTGATTCTAGCTAATAATATTGGGTCTTTCGTTTAAGTAAAAATATAAAAACTATTAAGATCTAAACTTGGGTACACATCAAATCCTCTTATGTAAAATACAGGAACTTTTTGGAAAAGGTACAGAAGAAATAATTTCCGAAACACTGAACAGACAAAAGAAGGTAAATTTCTCGGTTTAAAAAACATATTCTATCAATAAATTTTTGCTCTATAAAAATATATAAAATAAACAAATATTAAAAATTTTAAGAAATCAGAGCAAAATAACTTTGTGGGACCAAAAAATAATTTTTAAGTTGAGTCCATTCTCATGGGAAAGAACTTCAAATTACTTGAAAATTCACCTTATAATAGTCTACTCACAGCTCAAAATCTGACTCAGTCTGACATCATGAACGTTAAATGTCAAGTTCACTTCAGAGAAGCTGCGAAATTATGACACGGTTCCTCTGTCGGATTAGTACCACTGCCTGTATACCAGCTGGGTATTTTGCCCACTTTGTTCTAAGAAGCTAACCTTTCCCTCTTTAAAAGAAAGAAAAAAAAGATGTATAACTATGACTATCTAAGAAACAATAAAAAAGATGATAAGAAAGCGTAAAATCAATGTCATGACTCCTAATTCTCTTAACACCAATCTTAGAAGATAGTTAAAGGCAAAGATAAACGATCACCAGAACTTGGGGGGGGGGGGGACGGAGCATCCAGAA